AGTATCCTGTATCTCTAGCAGCTGTGAAATGTTATTCCTGACTTGATTAATCCTTGATAGATCATTGTCATTGAGTTACAATGTATATTCTTACTGAGATCAAGTTGTTCCTAGTAAATCTCCTGAGTATATGTGTGATAATATGTCTGTAAGAATGTTTGTAGTGCCTAGAATGTATTTTACAGTGAAATTGAAGTCTGATATCTTCTCTAGCTATCTGGCTTGTCTTCCACTTAATACCAGTTGCCTTAGAATGTGTTCTAACACTCTGTGATTAGTATACTAAAAGAAATGCATTCCTTGTAGTAGATTCTTGTGTCTTAGCATAGTTTCTACTCCTGCTAGTAATTCTACATCATGTACTAGGTAATTCTGTTGTACAGGGTTTAATTTTGCTAAGAAAAACACTGCTATCTTGGAATCTTTCTAATCATGACCTTGGCTGACTATTCCTCCAATTCCTGAAGCCAAAGTGTCTATAACAATGTTGATAGGTGGCACATTCTTACTATAATCCAATACTATCCTGTGATTATGCCTGAAATCCAATACTAGCTTTACTATTTGATCAAATGCTTACTGTTTAGTGAATGTCCATCTGAAAAATGCAGTTTCTCCTGCAATTTTTGATAAAATACCTGTAGAAATGTGTAACTAAGGTATATTGAGTGCTAAATACCCTACTGATCCTAAGAAACCTTGTAACAAATCTTTATTAGTAAGTACTTTCCATTGTTGAATAGAATCAACTTTATGAGGGTCCATTCTAATGCCTTGATTGTTGATAATGTAGCCTAGTATCTTCAATTCTTTCTAGAACAATTGTATCTTATGTTCACTAAGGTAGAATTTCTCCTTGCACAATATATTAATGACAGTTCTGAGATGTTGCATATGATCCTCAATCGTGTCTGAATAAATTACTAAGTCATCTAGGTAGATATCCATCCAGTCACCCAAGTAAGGCTGGAAAATGTGGTTCATTAATACTTAATAGGTGGCTCTACTATTACAATCACCTAATTGTATTACTTTACTAACCATTGTTCCATCCAGAGTGTTGAATATCAATCTGTTTACATGCTCAGGGATTATTCTAATCTGTTCATACATGTCTTTACCATTAATGAGCAATTTATACTTCTTGGAAGCAACTCTCCTCAATACTGATTCAATATCTAGTAAAGGAGATGATAGTTTCTTAGTATTCTTGTTGTGCTCTCTAAGATCAATGATGGTTCTCAATTGTATAGGGTCTTCCTTAGTCTTTCTAGGCTTTTAAAGTAGTAGCATAGGTATTGCATTTGATCCTGTAACTACTTTCCATCTTCCTAATTGAATATAGTTCTTTCTCTTGTTTTGCCATTGTTCTCTCAAGGGATCTGAACAAGTTGCCCTACAGAACTTGTATTTCTTATCCTCATCTAAGAGTGGTATACTATGATTAATGGCTCTGAGAGGTGGTAGAGGTGTTTCCAAAGTGTCTTTGAACAAATCCACAGTATATTACTTGATTTCTTGTCTGCATTTGTCAATTTCTCAATCATAAGTGTCAATAACCTTTGATGAAACGACTGTAACTTGTTCTCCTGTTATTAGTAGAGGTATTGTGCTTTCAATCCATAGTCTGGACTCATTGAAACCAATAGAAATCTTGTGCTGGAAGAGGAACAGTGTTCCTAGTATAATATCATAGTTATCCAAATTCATGATATCAAAGTACTGTATTGCATTTATCTCTCCATATTGTATTCTAGCATCAGTACAATAGTTTACTTTTGATCTAGAGCCTTGTACTGCCAATTGTATAAGTAGAGGTTTGGCTAATACAAGTTTCCTGACACCTATTTGATCTGCAAACTTGGTAGACATGAAATCTGCTAATGATCCTGAATCAATTAATGCTCTTACTAATTCTCCATTAATCTTGATTGTAATTATGATAGGACATGGTATTGATCTCTTAAAGTCCTTAGCATAAGCTGTAGTATGCTCAATTGTATTAAAATTGTTGAAGTTAGTAGTCATAGTGTGGATCTGCACAGGTAAATCATACATATATGCTCTATTTCCAGATATGGAATGTGAGTTGATATTTTCTATGCTTACAACTGAATACATT